CTTTCTCTCTAGCTAACGAATTGACGAACGAACGACAGGAATGAGAACTAGGGGTGTGTTAATCCCGTATCCCGAAGACGATTGAGGGAGAAAGGCGAAGGGGTGGAAAACGTACGAAGAAGAGAGAGGCTCGTCCCGGGATCACGGAGCGCACACACGACATTCTCGTCTTTTTTTCTCTCTTTCGTCTCCGATCGGGCCGCTTCGAAACGGTTTCGACGATCCCGAAAGCGCCAGCTCGATCGTTCGCGGGGGGAGAATCTAAATAGAAGAGAATACCATGCCACGGGAGGAAAAACGCTCGTCGAACGCTGAGAGAAATTGTAACATTGTCCCTTGGAAAATAAAAATTAACCTCGAGCTAAACTCGGCGCGTTCGTCGCTTTTTTTTTTGAGAGAGACACGGAGGTTACCACGATGGTTTCTCGTCCTCGAATCGCGCGACGAAGAAATTTCTACGAGAAACACAGATCTAGATCTCTCTCTCTCTCGATTTTAATTCGCTTTTCTGTTCGAAAATAATCGGAACAATCGGAAGATCACGACTCTTAAAGAAAACGAAAGTTAAGTCAAATGTTAGAAATCAAAGGAACGTCAAACGCGTACTTCTGTCAAATAAACAATGAAATTTTCGAATTCTTCCGATCGTTCGAAGGTGAGGAATCGTTTGGAAAATTCATTATTTCCCGGTGGAAACCTCGTCGCGATAACCCTCGAGTCGCACATGAAACAAAATCACACGGATAGATTAAAACGAAAACTCATCGATCCTTGTCAAATCTATCGTCTATCGCGTGGCAGTCGTCGCGGGATCATAGGACAAACGTAGAAACATAGAAATCACGGCGCCGATTTGTTGGCTTGACTCGCGAACGAATGGAAACTGAAACGTGAGACGTACGCGATGGGGAAAAAGATGAAAACCTTGGCGATCGATTGATCGATCGAGGTGCGCGGCGAAATCGGCGAACGCTGACTTCGCCCAATGACGAAGCGACGACGACGGTCTGGCAGAGTTGTGTTTTTCAAGCGTGATCGAAACTCTCGACGTCACGAGATCCTCTTTCTTTCTTCCTTTCTTTCTTTCTTTCTCGCTCGTTTTTAGAAAGAGACGAATTCTGAACGAGGTGACATCGTGCAACAACGAAGAAGAATTTCTATAATCTACTTCGAATCTCTGGGGTTGCCTTAATTCTTTTTTAACTCGGTGTTTCATTTTAGGCCCTAAAGATGTGACGAGAACAATAATTAGAGTCTATGTCCTTATTGACTGTCATGATTTACTTGTTTCTTCTCTCTTGCTCTCCTTTATCACCTAAAAAAGTTTATTCTTCGCTTCGTACACATATAGTATATATACATATACATATATGTATATATATATATATATATATATATAT